GTGTAGCAGATCTTTGAAAATACCTTATCTAAAGCTGGATTTTTAGTTACTTCTGCTTTCGTTTCAGCAACCCTTCAGAACCATGTCCATTTTTAAACTTACAACTTCCCTCAGAATATAATTTTTAAAAAGTGGTTAAAATATAGTGGTGCATGATGCTCTCCTAACATTGGAACGTAACATTATGTGTTTATACCAGGTAGCTGTCCTGTACTGTGGCAGAACTTGAGATTTTTCCATCTTGTTTTGCTGATTAGTTTGTTTAATCCTCAGTCTTTGTTACCCAAGGTGCTGCTGATTGTTTAGTGAAGTCCTTCCTTGTGCTGTTGGTCCAGGACTACCATTACATTCTCTCCTGCAACAGAAATGAAACCTAGTAGTGCCCCAAAGAAACTGGAGCTTCTGGTTCCGGAGTTTTGTTGTGTGTGGTATTTAGCAGCACCAACTGAATACTTAATTGCTTTTCTGTTTTAACAGGTGCAAAGGTGGGTACCTACAAATTCTGTTTGCTTTTTGCATTACTAGCAGCTGATGGGTGATGGCAGTTCTTGTCAGAATATTGTTTCAAATAGACTGATTGTGACTATCTTTAGGGAGAGCTGCCTTAACTTTAACAAGATGTGTTTGGCAGTGCGCAGTGCTTGTATTTTCTGCTGCTTCTGCTGACTGGGAATGTGCATTACTAAGAACAGACTAATGTAGCTTTGTCTTCCTACATTAATTATTGAGCTGAATCTGAGTTAAGGAGTATCTATTTGAACAACAGACACTTTGCTTTTAAAACAAAGCCACTGTATGTCAAGAGTTGGTACTTGGTAATTTGTTGCTGGACCCTGTACAGATATTGCAGTTCTTTGTATGAAAATGGCAGGGTGCCGTAAGAAGTGTTGAGAAAGAGCCTTGCTGATTCCTGCATGGTGTGATGTGTTTGAAACTGCAGGAAAGCTGTTGACAGCAGTGGTGTCCAGCTTCCAGACTATTGTGGTAGGTGATGATCATGGCTCCTGTATGATAGCTGGCTAACCGAAATTTATTGCTGTGTGCTTGTAGTCCAGTCCATTGACCTCTACTACTCTGATCCCCAAAAAGCTTTTAAGCTGCATGTGGGATGATGAGCAATGGCTGAACCTGAGTTAATTATGCAAGTGCCTAATGTATTTGAACTCCTGCTTAAGAGGAGGGTAGCTGATAGAAAGGGAAGAGTAAAAAGATGTTTCCCCTGTATAGCTGTCACAGGTTTTAGGATGATCTCCCATTAATGGCTGTTACAAACTTTGCAAGTTTGCATATTACTTGAGGAAAGTGCAAAAGTTTGTACTGGTTAAAAATCTTATTCCTCAGTGTGACTTTAGCCGAATAATTAATTGTAATGTTCCCATGGGAGCCTCCGTGGTCTTTTCATTTGTTAATTTATTTTTAATGATAAATGAATGTGTTTTTTCAAAGGTTGTGGCCTTTATCAATAGTGGTCGTTACCAGACTTTTTGCTCTCTGTCCTGCTGCTTCAGATGTCCTACCTCGATTTCTGTCTCCCCCTTCCTATTTTTGTTTGCAGGCCTCTGAAAACCTAGAATTATCTTGATTTTCATGACAGAGCTGAAGTTCTAAATACATTGCCATGACTTTTACTTAGTTAAAAAAAAAACCACTGAAAATCCTATTGTCATCTAGAAGTGCAAATTAAAGAAATTACGTATTTTGTCTGTTCAGACTGGTGGAAATGCACCCTAGTGTAACATACAGTAGTTACTTTTTGGAAACATTCTTGGTTTCTGGGTTTTTTTGGTGCTTTTCAGAGCTGTCATGGTGTTTCGGTTTGGTGGTTGTTTTAACCATACTGCTCTTAAAACTTTCCCAATATTTGTGATTTATGCATCCTGGCTACAGTCATTCTTATATTCTAAGGGTAAGTTTCTAAGAAGCATTTTTCTCTTTAAAATTGAGGCTGGGAACCTGTGAATAGAATATGAAAATTATGCACTTCTAGTTGTCCTTTGATTTCGTTTAGGCTGCTATTGGCAAATAGTAACTGCATTTGTCAAATTTCTAGCTTTCACTTTTTGTGTGTAGGCCTAATTAAGATTTGGATGGTTCTCACTTGCTGTGGGGGAGAAAACCTACATAGCTTGGTAGCTAAGAAGAAATTAGCCTTGATTAATGTTTCTCAACCCAGGTTGCAACAGTATTTAGGAACCAACAATTCTGTCTAATAACCAACACTATAATCTGATTCAGGCTTGCCAGCACTGCGTTTTATAGATTGGCAGATTTAATTAGTCTATGGTTAGTTCATGACAGTAAATAACACACAAACATTGCAAATGCTGTGTCAGTAATCTGTAAAAATTGTAACTGATTTTAATACTAGAGTGTTGCTGCTGAAGATCATATGTCTGATGTTGTCTGGATTAGAAAAATTGATCCTATCATGTCAAAGCTGATGTAGCTGCTTTAGTTCAGACCCTGTATATTTAGTGCATTGTTGTACCATAAGGCGTGCACTGGTGAAACTGAATAATTGTGTTAATTGGCACTGGTTTGAGCTTTGAGTTGAGGTATAGTCTTTGCACACAAGCCCTAAACTGAGTATGCTGGATTTTTAGATTTTAGGTTGCTTTGCAACCTGTGCCTTTGTCTCTCTAAGCAGACCAGGCAACTTTGGTTAGGTCATCTCACCAGTTGCTAACAGGGCTTGTTCTGTTGTTGCGAATGAGGGCATGACTGTTTTGTGTTATGATTTAGACTGCTGCATGTTTTGTGTCTGCTGTGCTTCTTATCAAAGAACATCTTACTAAATTATCCAGCAAAAATGGTTGAATGTTAAATAAGTCATACTGGATGCCACTGTATAGGTATGTATACAATTCAGGTATGAGGTTGGAGAGTAATTTGGATACTTCTGGCACTCATGCCTTCTCATCAGACATAGCAAGAAACAAACAAGGTAGAATTATAGAATCATTTAGGTTGAAAAAGACCTCTAAGATTGACTGTAAAGTTAACACATTCAAGTCCACCAATAAGCCATGTCCTGTAAGGGCCACGTCTACAGATCTTCTAAATGTCTCCAGCGATCGTGGCCAAATTAACCTGAAGTTCCTTAAAGATCACTTTCTTTGGCTTGGTGGAGAGGTTTGATTGTTAAGTTCTTCAAAGAGGTTGCTTACTTATAAACAGAAGGAAAACGGTGTTTTCACTGGTCTTTCCTAATGAAGTAACTTGTCCTAGTTTAAAACTGCCTTGGAGACCTAACGTGAGTGCTTGAAGGATCTGTTCTGCCAGCCTCTGCAAGAGCATCGGCACCCCGCCCTGTGCCTTGCCTGGCCAGTGAGATCACTATAAAAATAAATGGCTCCATAAGCACTGGAACTAATGACTTCTGTTTTATGTGGTTTAGTCTCTTGTGGTTGATTCGTCTTTGGCAAGATCAGAGGGGTGTTCTCTGCCTGAAAGTGTTTTTTGCAGCAGGGCTGTTTGCAAGTGTTCTCAGAAATAGAGCTCTTTGTTTTTTGCAGTCGGGCTGTTCAGAAGCGTTCTCAGAAATAGAGCTCTTCTGGTGTCCAAAAAGATGTAAACTTGAGTTCCCCTTTCCAAGCTCGGTGCTTACAAGATCCATTTCTCTTACTTATCCACCTATTTTCACAAGATCTGTAGGAGCAGTTGTAAGACTTTTTTTTATATTTGAATAGTGGGGGTTGGTTAAATCATATTGCTAAGACACAGTAACAACATGATGTCCCAAGGCAAGGAAACCGGGCTAAAAGTATTGGTGGTTTTGTGTTGTCACTATGACCAGATTGTAGGGCACTCCTAAGACTCCAGGTGGTGCTGCAGTACCACCTGGGTCATTTTTGTTGGGTAACCAATAAAGTTTATCTGCAGAAGTTGGTGAACTTGCCTGCTGCCTTCTCAAAGCTGAAGTACTAGAGTGAGAAGAGTAAAGTGCAAAGAATATTTCCTGCACTAAATGTTTCTGTGGCTTTGTAGAGGACGTAACCGTTCTGCATTTATTTCTTATAAATTATTTATTATAAGGTATTTATTTCTGTTTATAGCTAAAGGCCAAGAAAAAGTTTAGGATCTGTGTTTTGTTTGTTTTTGTTTTGTTAGCCTTACTGCTGTTCTACTAGATGGCAATATTCTGACATATTTCTTGCTGCAGTAATCAGACTCTTTTCACATGTGTGAGTATGAGTTACATTCCTTGTCTGCCCCTAAAATAGTAGCAAGTAAAATAAAATTTGTGATTCCAGTGAAGTTGCAGTTACTGGATACTGATGCTATCTTGCACTGATTTAGATTGACTGCTTCTTTGCCTTAGTGTCTTTTATTAGAGTGAAGAGTTACTGAGAGTTCTGTAGAGGCAAACAATTTCTTTCTTTGAGAATGGTGTGTGTTCTTCTCTCAGATATGTGTTAAAGAATTCCATGTATGGCAACACTGGGGAGTGATAATATTAATTTATTTTAATGGTATTAATATTCTCTATGTTAAAATGTGTGAAAAATACTTTCAGATCTCCTATGCTAGATAAAAGTCTTGTGAAGGGTGGGAGAGTGATTTTAGAAGTTGCCTTTGTGGTATGAGGGGTTTAGGGGGTGGAGTGTGGAAGGGAAGAGTTCTGCTCTTGTCCCTGCTACTGATTAGATTGAATGTCTTGCATTATGTTTGTGTGTTTGAACCTTTATTTCATGCACCTCTTAGTTTAGGCTTGCCACAAGTTTTTTCAGAAAGATATACGTATATATGTGTGTTTAGATCGTGTTATTCTAGTGACTCTGCATATACCATCCTCTTTCTATGTTGGCTATTATTTTTTTGGCTGAAACATATCCTTAGGGTTATGAAAAAACTGGGGTAAATATATTTGGATGTGACAGTAAAATATAGAAGGTTGATTTGGTTGTGGCTAGGATTTTTGGATGAATTAGCTTTCTAAACAGATATTGCACGTAAAATTTCTTCATCTTGAATGTAACGGTTTATCTTGTTCTCTGCAGGAGAGAGTGCAAATCAAAAGATGCTACTTGCAAGATCTCTGAATCTGACCCTGAGGAATTATCAGATGAAGCAAGTGCTGACACTTTCTATGGTGCTTCTCCCCCTAGTACACCCCGCCAGATGAAGCGTATGTCAACAAAGCATCAGAAAAATAATGTCAGCAGACCTGCTGGCCGCTCCACTTTGAAAGGTTGGTGTGGTGTGTTGGTTTTTTTCCTAAAGTGATCAATAATAGCAGTAGCCTGTTGTTACCTGGTGGAGGGGTTATACAGAAGGTGGAGCTGGATACTGAGGTGCAGTGAGAGAACAGGAGGCAGCTGTCGTGAATTGCAACAAGGGAAGACTCTTGGGTATTGGAAAAAAAAAAATAATTTCTATGAGAATGCTTAAACAGTGAACAGTTTACCAGATGGGTTGTTGGATTGTGGAATCTCTATCTTTGAAGATTTCTAAAACAGAACTAGTTGAGATCATGAGCAGACTAAACTAAATAAACTCAGTTTTGAGCAGAAAGTTGGAAAATATTACTCTCAGAAGTATTTTTTAATCCCTTTCTTCTGCAATTCTGTGATTTTTAGTAATGGTGTAGTTGCTTTTCTGCTCAGTTTTCATGTACTGAAGCACTTCACAGGCTGTTTATTGCAAAATACAGTTTTCAGTGATTATTCTTTACTCTTTAATGTCAGTGAAGCACTTTAAAGTGTAGTTACACCTGCTTGCTTCTCATGCTTCAGCATAAAGAGATGACGGGGAGAAAACCTGTTCTTGATACATGGTTTTTTCCTAACGTTGCTAAGGAATTGTAACAAATAATAAAACTTTTTAGCTTAAAATGATTGTTTTGTTGTTGTTGAAATTGCATGGGTGCAAAAAAGCCGTTTAAGATTGTATGTTCAGTGTGTCCATACAGACTACAACTAGGTTTTTGTGGGATTTTTTTGTTGTTTGTTTAATATATTTTTAAACAAATAACAAATTATGTCAGACAATTATTTGACAGAGTTATGGCAGCTTGACTACTGCCAATTACTGTTCTGGAAGCAATTTTTAAAATTGCTTTGCATGAAACAAGAAAAAATGTGCATTACAGGGATATTATTTTTTTTTGGAGGTAAAATGTCGGGAAGAAAAGGGTAAATTGTTTGGGGTAAATGAGGGAATATAGTCAATTCTTTGGTTGTGTAGAACTGTGGAATGAAAGTTCATAATAAATGAAGGGCCAATACAAACATTTTCCAAAGCTTCTGTTTCCCTTTCACTTCATGCAACCTCCAAATAACGTCACTGAAGAGAACATTCACCAAAATACCTCTTTCTCATATGAAATTACAGAGAAATCTTGTTACTCTTGCCAGTTAACTGTAGGCATTGGAATTATTAAGCCTCTTTAATTTTGCTAAAAGGCACGTTTAAAAGCTAGTAAAATTCTTCTTTGCAACATTAACTCTATTTTAACCCTCTATATAGTGGTTATGTAAACTTTTCTTGCTTTTAGTGATTTTTTTTTGTTGTTATTGTTTCATTATGTGCTTTATGGAAGTGTTAGTTTCTAAACAGACATTGTGATACTAAAGAAATATAATGTATTATATTTCATTGTTAGCCTTTGCTTCTAAACACATGTGGAAGATTGATACCTTTATAAGAAACAAGGAGCTGTTGTTTATCCTTGCATATAGATTTTGAGTTTTGAATTTTTTATTATGAGGAGAATGGTTCTTACTCCTGGCATGATAATAACCTGTTCTTTGTTTTCATGAGTATCTTAAAATATCTTTGCAATTTTTTTTTCTGATTAATTGGATATTGTTGTGTAAAGTATTTTTTTCTGGAAAGTTCCTAATTTTTTTTTAAACTTTGCCTATGTGTACCATCTCAGAACAGATATTTTGTATTATGAGGAGGAAAAAAAACTCCACCCCAAAATCTTGTGGAGTAGTTTGTTGACCTTGAATGTGTATGCATATGCTCTTGCTGAGCTTGGATGGTTATACTTCAGTAAGAGAGTTCATTTAGGAGTTGGCTGGATATAACTAATCACTTAAAACAGTGAATTTTAAATAACTTCTCAGATGTTTACAAATAAGATTGAAATTATCTTTATTTAGACAACTGAAAGAATTTTGGGAATTAGGGGCTTGGCTTACTTGAGCTTCTGATACTTGGTTGTTTAATTTCTGTCACACCAAGTTCCTACAACTTGTATTTAGTATCCAAAAATAAATCGATGCAATAATGTTTGGTCTCTGAATTGCTTCTCCTGTAGCCCAAGACATACGTGGCTCACATTTTTCCAAGCTAAATGCACTTCAGAGGTGCTTGTAAGATCTACCTGTGTCTCCCGAACTCCATGAATGCTTGCTTACTTACTGAAGTGTTAGCTTCTCCATGTGCTATGTAAAAGCAGTGTTTTCTTTTAATGACCTGTTTAACATCTCAGACTCCACCACATGCTCCCTCTCATTAACTGGTAGTAGCTTAGTTGTGAAACCCCTCGCCCTTTGTAGCATTAAATGTAATCATAACTCAAAATTGGTTAGTACAGCTGAACTTTTTTTACAAATTAATTGAATTCTACATTACAATACTGCAATACAGTTATAGCACTAATTTATTGCAGGACTGTCAGTTGTATTTGAATCATTGGTGTCTATTTGATGAGAGGATTTTGAAACAATTTTTAGATTATTGTGCCTGGGATTTGGTAAGAATGATGAACATTCAAGTATTATGGCTTTTTGGATGTCTAATAATTAATAATTTTTAACTTACCTTTCCTTCAATGTGTTTTGGTGGTGTGGGAAATCTGAAGATTGATGATAAGGGAGAATAACATGCTAAAAATACAAACTGAAGGGATCTAGAAGTTCTCCTATCTAGAATGTAAGTTAAGAAAGTGATCTTTACATGTAGTAGGATTTTAATTTATTTTACAGGGCCACCAAAACCTTCAGCATCAAAGGGCTGATGTTAAAAGTTGATTAATTTCTAATCTACTTAAAATCTGTGTGGAAGGGGTGTATGCTTCATCTCTGTCAAGCTCCATTTTCAGTCTGCTTGCCTGCCAGTGCAAAATGCCCCTTCCTGCGTTTTGCCTGGCCTAGCTCTCTGGCCAGTGAAAATAGACAAAGTATTTAGTCATCATTCTGAAGTCCTTTCTGCTCTTGAGTGAACAGAGGCCCTGTGACCATGGGGCATGTTGTGTTTCAGCTGTGGCTAAGTTGGAACTACTGGACTTCAGTAGTCTACGTACAGGTGATTCCCTTCTGCCTACCACCACTTCTGAGAGAGAGAACTGCTCTTTTCATGCCAAGTAGTTCCTCCTATTCTGGTCCTCAAAGCCTAGACTGAACTGCTTTTCATAGTTTTGAGGTAAAGTGTCAAGGTTTGCTGCTCCTGAGGAAAGAATGGGAAGCAAGGAGGAGATCAAACCTTTAGGTGGGGAAAGGCTGTTGTCCGTAGTAAGAAAACAAGTGTTTGTGTGTTGCAGTAGTGGGGAGGTAGGCTCAAGGTGCTAAGGCGGTGTATTCAGATTACAGAGAGGTTCACAGAAGCAAGATCAACCTTCCCAAGAGGCAGGATTGGTACATTCAAACTAAATTTCAAAATCTATATATGCTCCAGTTTTTATGAAATTGCATGTACAATGAAATCTCTTTAATTGTTTGACTTGGATGCTCTAATAATGATTTGTTGCATTTTGAGATTTTGCTTGGGAAGTTGTGTGACAAATGTGTGTAAAATGAGCTTGGAAACCATCCTTTTACTTTTGATCATACTCAGTTCTCAGTAGGGGTGGCATACTCAAGATGAGAATTCTGTGAGGTCCTTTCTACAAAAGAGGTAAAGCAAGAGAAAAAGAAAAAAATCCTTTAGTTTAGGGTATAGTAGTGGTAACCTCTAATAATAAGACTAAATTTTATTTCTATCCATGCCTAATTTGTTTTATTGATATTTAACATTTTTATGCTCAACCTAACAAAGGTGATTTGGAACTGAATTAAAAAATGCTTTTTCTTGTTGCTGCAGTCACATTCTTTTCTTTGCTTACAGAAAAGATGAGTGTGCCATCTCAGTCTTTGCATAAAGACAGTGGGAAAACCATTGAGAATGTGGAGGAGCACAGCTACAAGCAAGGGAAAAAGATCAGGGATGCCCTAAGGACAACAGAACGAGATCACAAAAAAAATGTGCAGTGCTCATTTATGTTAGACTCAGTTGGTGGATCTCTGCCAAAAAAAACAATTCCAGATGTTGATCTCAATAAGCCTTACCTCAGCCTTGGCTGTAGCCACGCTAAGCTTCCAGTCTCTGTGCCCATGCCAATACCCAGAACCACACGCCAGACTTCTAGGACTGATTGCCCGGCAGACCGGTTAAAATTCTTTGAAACCCTGCGGCTTTTGTTAAAACTTACCTCAGTCTCAAAGAAAAAGGACAGGGAACAAAGGGGACAGGAAAACACTTCCTCTGTCTGGTTGAACCGATCCAATGAACTGATCTGGCTGGAGCTGCAAGCTTGGCATGCCGGCCGGAGCATTAATGACCAAGACCTTTATCTCTATGCAGCCCGTCAAGCTATCCCCGATATCATCAATGAAATCCTCACCTTCAAAGTGGACTATGGAAACTTCTCCTCTGGAAAAAATGGAGCCAGTCTCAATGGTACTTCAGGAGAAGGAGTTTGCAAATCAACACATGGAACTAGTGCTTTGGGTTACTCGAGTTACCATGAGCACCTCCATCGTCAGCGGGTCTCATTTGAGCAGGTAAAGCGAATAATGGAACTGCTGGAGTACATAGAAGCACTTTATCCATCTCTGCAGGCTCTTCAAAAGGACTACGAAAAGTATGCTGCAAAGGACTTCCAAGACAGGGTGCAGGCACTCTGTCTATGGCTAAATATTACAAAAGACTTAAACCAGAAACTAAGGATTATGGGAACTGTATTGGGCATCAAAAATCTTTCTGACATTGGCTGGCCAGTGTTTGAAATTCCTTCTCCTCGACTGTCCAAGGACAGTGATCCAGATGATGAAGACATTGATAGGGAAACAGAAATAAAGGAGTCCTCAGGAACATGCACAGAGGAGAGTGATGGCGAAGAACAAATCTCTGAGGAGAATGTTGAGGAACTTAGACAAGCCATCAAGAACAATTTTACTAATAAGCCAAATTTTGACTTTCAGGACCATTTTTCAAGGAGGCTTGATAGGCTTGAATCTGAGGATGACTCTGCTTCCTGGGTTATTCCAGAATGCAGTGCTGAGGGAAGCTGCAACCAACACTGTTTGACCTCTATTTACAGGCCGTTTGTTGATAAAGCACTGAAGCAAATGGGGTTGAGGAAACTAATTTTAAGACTGCACAAGCTAATGCATGGTTCATTGCAAAGGGCCCGTATGGCGTTGGTAAGGAGTGATCACCAGCTGGAGGTAGGTTACAAGTGTAAATGGATAACAGCAGCACCTCCTTGCTGTATTGTTCCTAACTGAAAATGTAGCAATTGGGATCTTATGAACATTTTGGTTGCTTAGTTGGTTTTTGAAAAACAGTATATATTATGATTAGGAGCCCAGTTCTCCTTCCATGGAAATGAATCTGTTGTTTGACTGAATTTGTGTGAAGCCCAAGATAGTTCTCTGTTCTTGTTTGTAATTTAAATTATATTTTTGTGATAACATCTTTGTTCATTATATTTTCTAATGTCTAAATCAACAAGTCAGAAAAATCACTGTGGAAAATCAGGCCCAACAGTCGAATTGTGAGAAAAATCTACTGTGGAGGTTGTAATTTTTCTTGTCTTCAAGACTGGATGTTTTTCTGCAAGACATTCTTTATAAAAATATCACTATAGTTCTTTTGGTGGTTTATCTCATCGACATAAATTAAGTACTGTGGTGGTACATTATGCTTGAGGAGAGTTGGGATATAGGAATGGACTCAACCTTGAAATATATGAAAACAAGTCATGTTAGTATGCTGCATTCTTTAGCTGGCTTTTAGCTTAATTATTGGTTTTCTTTGGGTCATTTTATCTTCTTAATTAAGAATGACTGTACGTTAATAAAGCCAATGTAGGAATTAAGCAGGAAGTGAAAGACGGTAGTTTCATATTGTACAATGCGGTCACTAATTCTTTCAAGGCAGAGTATTGTTTCTTAATGTAAACTGTTATCTAACTTGTAGGCATTTTTATGCTAGGTAAAATTGGTGGTAAGGATTACTTGGTCTCCTTAGTAAAGTGGCACTGTGAATTCTGGCCAAAGGCATCTCTTAGCCAACATGCCCATTCTGAGACAGATACCATATGTGGTCTTTAAAACATTGCAGATCTCTTAATGTTGATTGTCACATTTGCAAAAATAATAAGAATTGTTGATCTCGCTTAGAAGTTATCTTTTTAGGATGAATAAATTTATAAAGCTATTTGATTTGAAGGTTTTTATTTGTACCATTACTAGTGTAGATATTACTGTAAAAATGAGACTATAAGTTGAATTTTCATTTATTCTCTATTTGGTTTCAGCTTGTATTTTAGAAAATTTGCATTAGAAATGTATAACATTTCCTTAAGAGTCAAGTGCCTAAGCAAAACTTGCAGGTATCTTGTTAGAGTAACTGAAAGCACCCCCAAACCACCTGCATTTAGAAAATTCAGCTTAATATATATGTTGAACTAAATTAAAAAAAAATAAAATCAAAATAAACAAGACATAATATGGGGATATTGGAAATGGACTTTGTATATATTTTTGAAACTACTGAATACCTCAAAAGTTTTGACTGCATAAGGGTTTTTAAAGCAAGTTAATGGAGCATTAAATAGCTAGAGTTCTTTTTTGCAGCCTCACAGAATTAAACTTTTTGGTAACGTAGTTTTGGATGCTTTGTCTAAGATGTAAGGTTCATCTTTTCTCCCTTTTCTACCCTTGTGACTACTTTGAATGTTCATTTTTGGTAATTATTACCTTTTATTTGGAGTATTATTCTCTTTTAAGAGATTGTCTTTAGTAAAGGTGAATGTTACAAATTGTAAACTTCTTTCCTGCACCAAAATTTAAAGGATGTTATCAGAAAAAAACACAACTCTGTTAGAATTGTGGTACTTACTGAAGCAAAAGATGACTTTATTCTAAAATGGAAGAGATGGGTTTCAATTGTTTGGTCTTTGCACCTGACAATACATTGAATGTAGTGTTTTTTGTTTTTTTTTTAGTGCAGTTCAGTTTGATATTTGTATGCAGACAGAATTGTTAGTATTCTGTTAATCTTTATTGTTTCTGTTACTTTTGTAACTTGACTCTGTGTTTATGTGTATACTTACACTTCTAAGTCTCTGGACATACTTTTGTTTCTGTTGTTGCTTCAATGGCATCTAAAACACATCTAAAATGTGCTTTCTGAATTCTTCCACTGTATGCATTTTAATGCTCATTTCATCCTAAATATGTGTAAATCTTTATACATATTCCTGGTCTTGGTGTTTTCTAAAACATGTTTGATTCCTCTATAGGCTCTGATACTTTAACAGGGCTCTAGGCATTATAGAGTTGATTGTGTGTAGAAGTTGTACAATTTCATTCTTGGTGAAGATGGATAATATTTCTAACTTTAGTGTATGAAATCAGATGTTATTTTAATAGAACATATTTAAGTTTGTGTACCCTGTTGTTTATTCAAGTGGCTGCACTTTTGAGTATGGTTTTTTGTATGATCTCAATAAATGGCTTAGAGTTTTTCTTGAGGTTTTTGTAAGAAGTATTTGAAACATTTCAGATTGAGCCTGCAGAAGATTAAGATTAGTCAGATTGGACAATTAAAGTCTAGGTGTGTAGTACTAAGCCCTAAGTACTAAGCCATTTTCTGTTATCCTTGATGTTAGAAAAGGCCTTTTCTAACATCAAGGATAACAGAAAATGGCTGTGTTATTTTTGCTCATAAACTAGTTCTTTAATATTTTTATAAGAACTGAATTTCCCCAAACTGTCTTTGCATCACCATGGGGATTGTATTTCTTATTTATTTTTTTTTTTGTTGTACTGTGGAAGTGTAGTATTTTCATGATCTGTTTGTTAATGAAAACATACTGTGTAAAAATCTTTAGCCCTGATGCTATTCTGGTGCTGTATCTTCGTTTTAAAGAGAGTAAAAAGAAGACATTATTTCATCTAAGAAGATATGTTTTAAAATATGTGTTTTCATTTTCTGATAGATTATGAGTTTAAAAGGTGTTTTAAACTTTCTAGGTGGTAGTTTTATAATTTATCATTATCATACTCTAATTACTGGTAATTTTTTTTTCCCTTTTGTAGTGATGTTACTTAAATTGAGCTGAAGAAAAGCCTAGAAAATGCTAGTTATGTCTACTATATGACTGAAGGATGTTCAGAACTTTGGTTAGCAGCTGAGAAATGAAAATAAGAATGAAACAAACTTGATCTGAAACAAATCATCCTTAAATGATAAACAGTGTATTGCTATCTTTAGGAGCTACCCATGTTCTGAAGTCCAACTTTTCTTTCTAAATTAAACCCCAGAGTACCTCCATGTACAGCCTTGCTTAGAATGTTATCACAAGGTATATAGTTTTAGATTTCTAGGGTGTTTA